AATTTTAAGTCTGAATCTATAACATCATTAATCTTACTAAATGTTATATCAAGAAATTTCAACTTATTTTTCAGTTTTCTTTGACTGAAAAAATCAAATAGCTTGTATAAAAAATATTGTGTTCTTATTTTTCAGTCAGTCACAGATGATAATACCTGATGGTTTGTCTTAAGCTCTAGCACGAGGTCTACACTAAGATCACAAATCCAAATTAGGCACAAAGGTATATTATATCCTAAATGAAACAACAAAAATAAATCTTATCTGTGCTGCAGTGAAAGATTCTCAGGAGGAGGTCTCAAATTTTAAAAGCATGAAGGCTGCCACAAACATTACCATTCTCTGCCAGGAGGACAAAGTGTAGTTTTTTTTCAACATCTCCTAACACAAATCATCAATTCAACTTCTCAAATCAAAACACTTCCTTTGGAAAAGAGTGAAAAAAAGACTGAGTCTCGAGGGGTAGCACTCTTCCTTAGCAGACAACTGGAAGGCATTTGGATACAGTGAGGATGCTGAGATATAAGAGCATACATAGGTTAGAACACACTCCAAACACCACAAAAACTTATTCAAAAAAATTGAAGAGGACAGAAAGCCTTATAGTGCTTAACAGTGTAAGGCAGCAAGCGTGAAAAGCAGATCAACAACTTGAATTATAGGTAAGTCTATAATTTAATAGGGAAATTTTAATAGAAATGGTCATAAACAGGGCAGCCTGCGAGGAAAATACGTTTAACTGAAGAAAGTGACACGAATTGAAGACTTGTGAAACAGCTTCAAGCTGTCGAGATTTCTAGAGTTTGAAAAATAGATTGCTCTATACCTTTTAAACAATGCATTTTTCTTCGTTCTGTTGAAAGTAACTCTGATATATAACACATTTCTCAGAATGAGACTTCAAGTCTACAACTAAAGGAATGTAGAAAATCAGTATAAGTTTATGAGAGATATCTGTTTGTAACAAGACAAGTTCACAGAATCACAGAATCACAAAATCATCAAGGCTGGAAGAGACCTTCAAGATCATCTGGTCCAAACATCAACTTAGCACAACTATAATCACCCCTAAACTATGTCCCCAAGTGCCACATCCAGACAACTCTTGAACACATCCAGAGATGGTGATTCCAATCTGGTCAACTTAATCCAGTGCCTAAAATTTCAGTAAAAATTTTTCTTCTATTGCCTAATATGAACTTCCCCTGGCACAACTTAAGGTCATTTCTTTTCATCCTTTCACTTTGGAGATGGCAGAAAAGACAGACTCCCACTTCACTACAACCTCCTTTCAGGTAGTTGTAAAGAGCAGTGAGGTACCCCTTTAGCCTGAATATTTACCTTCTCCAGACTAAACAACCCCAGTTCCATCAGCCACTCCTCATAGCACATGTTTTCTAGACCCTTCACCAGCTGTTACCCTTCTCTGGACACACTCTAGCACCTCAATGTCTTTTTGGAAGTTAGGGGCCTAGAACTGAACACGGTACTCATGGTGTTGCCTCACCTATTGCCTAGTACAGGGGGACAATCACTGCCCTAGTCTGGCTGGCCACGCTATTTTTGATACAGGCCAAGATGCCATTGGCCTTCTTGGCCCCCTGGGCATACGGCTAGCTCATGTTCAGCCAGCTGTAAAACTTTCCTGCTGAACAGCTCTCAAGCCACTCTTCCCAAGCCTGTAGCACTACGTGGGTTTGTTGTGACCCAAGGGCAGGACCTGTCACTTTGCACAGTTGACCCTCACACCTTTGACCTTGGCTCATCGATACAGTATGTGGAGATCCTTCTGCAGAGCCTTCCTACCTTCCAGCAGACCAACACTCCCACCCAACTCAGTGTCATCTGCAAATTGGCTAAGGGCCCTCATCCAGCTCATTGATAAAGATTTTAAACAGGACTGGCCCCAATACTGAACACCCAATGACCAGCCACCAACTAGATGTAGCTCCACCCACCACCACTCTCTGGCCCTGGCCATCCAGGCAGTTTTTCCCCCAGTGAAGTGTATACCCAGCAAAGCCATGAACTGCCAGTTTCTCTAGGTGAATGCCGTGGATTTCAAAGCACACCAATGCACATCTCAAAAAATAAAACAATTTAATAAAATTAATAAAATAAAATAATAAAATAAAATAAAGAAGTGTATTCTAGGAGATACCAATACAATTTCTGGCAAAGAAAGTATGACAGTAGAAAAAATCCTTTTAAGTAAAAAAGCTTACCTTTTTCCAGGCTCTGTATAGCAGGATATATAGCTGAATCCACAGAAAATTATGCAGTGGTGCCAAAGTGTCATTGCTACTCTGTTTGTTCACTTATATATATGTATGTAGATAACTGTAACTGTTTTGTTCTTATCATATGCAATATATAGAAAAAGATGAAATTACCAGAAACAGAGTATTTATGATCTTAAAATAAGAGCTCTAGTCTACAGAGTTTAACATGAGACTCTGCAGATTAAAGACAACAGCCATCTCTTATTCTGCACTAAATTAATTTCATATCCTGCCCATGTTATTGGAATAAAAGTGGCTGTGGGAAGCGTCAAATTCAAATGTCACTTGAACAAAAAGAATTGCTCAGAATGCTTCAATTTTTTAATCTGAGAAAGATTATTCAGGAGCATGGGTTAATTCCTGCCAAGAGTTGTTTCTCTGTTGCAATGTGTAAACGAAAGGGCAAAAGTGGTTTTTTTCTCTGTCTTTTGAACAAATTATTTCATAGAATTATTCCTGTATAATACCAGGATGAATTAAAAGTGCTATCATCAAAAAACCAGGTTAATAGTCTAAGAATGAGTGCAGGGGCTTCTACAATACAGCCAGTTGAATTACTTTGAATTAGTAGTCATTAACAGTTATGAACAAATTAGGGGGCTACCTTAGCACTGTTTGATGTCCTGAGACGGGAGCATTGATTCATTAGGCCAAATAATAAGGTAATAAGAGGGCACAAGGATAAAGTAGAAGCCCACCACTCGCGCTGCATGGTCTAGGCAAGGCAACTGTCTGGTTTCATCTTCTTTCCAGGAAGAAAGCAATTTTTTTAAAGTTTTAGAGTTATAGCCCTGATGACTGCTTGCAGCATGCTAAGAATCACAACTCGGAGAAGGATCTCGTTACACCAGTCTGTAACAGGCACTAGTCAGACATTGCCCAAGCCCATTAATGAGCCCAATGAACAGCTGCATTTCCTGCTGCTCACTTCTGTTCTTCCTTAGGGACTTTTCATAATGTAAAGGTTCTAGCCCAAGACTTAGATAAGGGGTAGAAGAGGAAGGACAAGAAATTATCTGCTGTTATTCAAACCTTAGGACCTTTGTCCTTGAGCTTCATCTTTTCTTCAAATCAAAGTGTTTCTGTGCATTGTCTTTCATGAAGTTATGGTCTTCCTGATATCTGACTCAATAATTAATGTGTAAAGTTATTGCTTGCATGCATAATCTTTCTCTCTCATGAATATGTGAAGGAGGAAAGATTATAAGTTGTCATATGCTTCCAGAGCCTCTCTCCATGACAGAATGATAGATCCCAATGCTGTATTTAAAACACAGCTGAAGAGATAAAAATAGTGTTTAACTTCTACAGTCATTATGAACCACAGTAATTTATTGAACCCTTCAATCAGCTGAGGAAACAAAAGATTGGGAATGCGTGAATGACTCATTTCTTTTCATGCTGCGTGCACTGATGCTCCAGTAACTTGATGCTCTAAGGGCTAAACAAGACTGCACAAATGTGTCACTGAAATGAAGCAAACAAAGCACATCATAAACAAAAACAAATCAGTGGAAAGCACTGGGGGAAACTCCTAGTGGTTGCCTCTTAATTAGCTGTATCTGCAGGATGCGTCTGAAATAGTTGGGAAGAAAAATGTAGATCTCACAGTGATTCAGGAAAAAAGAAGTAATTTCAATAGGAAAAAGAAGTTTAAGTGGATAGGCTCAGATATCTTCTGCACTCAACAACTTGACTAAGGAATACATTCATATGCTTTGCAACCTTTTTTTCTCTTTTCCTAGAAGTTAAGACCTATCCATGGAAGGAATTTGAATGCCACGTTAACACTGGTCAATTTGACTGTAACCTCATAATGTATGTTGACAGAAGACATCATCTATTTATGAAGATTTAGAGAAGACTCTAAGAACAGTTTTGTGCTACCTGTTTATATGGAAGTTAAATGTACCACTTGTTATGGAATATCTGTTAAGGTAGTTGTATGAATAAATCAACACACAATAAAACACACAGAGATCCTGATTTGGCATAGACAAAACAGAACAATGCAGGAATTGCTGTACTGAAGCAAAGCAATAGTATATCTGATTCCGTATCCCTTCATTAACCACGGAATCTTTGGAAGACTCAGAATAATTCAGTTAACATGCCAAACTCCATGTTACAAAGCTCATCTCCCTACCGTGCATCTCTCACAGAAGAACAGGGACCACTTCAAGATTGCCTATGGATCCACAAGCATACATAATAACCTTATAAAAAGTCAGATGAGAAAAAATTCATTAATTAAGGAACCATTATTGTTCAATTGAGGGTACAGAGAATCTCATTTTTTTCCAGATATCAAATGGCATACTTTCAGGAAGGAAAAACAAAAGGAAAATAAGGGGGGGTGGGGCAGGAGGGGTAGAAGAGGAAATTACTCCTTGTCTTATTCTATTCTAAAAACATTTTCCTCCTCTCCCACTCCCCAAGAGAATTCAAACAACATTCAGAAGGATCATTTCAGCACCTTCAGATGCAGGTCAAAACTTTGAAAGTGGTGTAGACAGTTCTCATTGACTCCTAAGAATGAAAACACAATCATCAATATGGACAGTGTTTTGATTTTGCATACACTGATGTTGTGAGTAAAATTGTAAACCTCATTGCCATTGATGCATTTGCACTTTGCACTTGTAAAATGAAGATAATCCTTTCAGTTTCTACCAAATAGCACTGTAATGGTTTTGAGTTTAGGCCTTCCTTCCTTACGTAATCCAGCATATAAACAGATGGAGAGAGAAGCCTCTTTCTCTCTTCCCTTCCGGTGAGTTTTGGACACAGCAGACTCCCGCAAGGCCAGTCTCGCTCCTGTGGGGGGAGTTGAGGCCTGGCTGGGCCTACAGGGCCTGTTGTTCCTGCTGATCCGGGGTCCGGTAGGGTGGCGGCGGCATTTGGGCAATTGTGCTATCCCAAGGAAAGTAGTAAGATATTCTTTTGCAAATTCTTTAGTTTGCTAGATCCTGAGGGTTTTTTTCATTTGTGTATATCTGTTTTGGTTTTGGTTTTTTTGTCCTTTTTTTTTTCCTTTCCCTTTTCCCTTTTCCTTTTGGGATTGTATATAGTATTTCAACTGTATATAATCGTAATATATGTAAATACATATATTTTAATATAGTTTGGCCAATCTGGATTTTTTTTGTAGTATTTTTTCTTTTGCTCTTTGCCAGAGGTTTTTGTGCTGGGTCTTGGGGACTTGGTGGGGAGCCAAATAAAACTTAAACAAGCACTTAAACATAATTCTGCAAGAATTTTCACTTTGTTTTGAAATTTTTTCTGTTCCTTATGGTATCCCAAAGTTCTGTTTGAATCAGCTTTTAAGGTGTGAATTAAAAAATCAAGTAGATAATCATTTTGAAATTTCTCATACAGATACCAAGTCTGTACTAGTTACTAGAACTGCACAATATTTCTCTTTGTCAAAAGTCTTCATAACACCAAGTACAAACCCAAACCATTCTAAATAATAAGCAGTGTAAAGAATCCCTGACAGAGTAAATATGAAGACAGCAATAAATATATCATGAAATCTAATTAATCTGTGTTATTTTGAAGTATTAATTACTGTAAACACCCCTCATGGATCCATTAAGGTGGTAGGCAATTAGGAAGGTTCTTGAACCCCATTATGGGCAGTGAAAGAAGGTTTTACTAGTACTGCAGACTAAAAGTTCAAAATATTCTATCATTCTGTTTTAAAGTATCTGGTTATGTATTTCTTACAGGGGAATATCGGACCTCACAATAAAACATATAGTTTGTTGAAACTCGGAGCAGATAAAGTGACATTATAATTGATAACATAGAAGACAAGAGAACAATTAAAATCTCAGCTAACACTAAGTCAGAGAAGGCAATGTTCCCTTTCATCTCCCTTGGGCCATTATTTATTGTCACTGGAACAGAACAGTCCCTCCTTAAACAGGAAACCTCTTCAGACAAGAGTCATTGCTTGTTGCCGCATAGGCATACAGTGCTTAAAGAAATACTGCTTCCAGCTTGAGTGGAAAGCAGAGACACTAAGAGAACACAAATAATGACAGAGTAATTGAAATTAAGCCTGAGATAGCTGGTGACTAATGCAGAGCCCAAACATAAACCTCAGTTTGGTTTATTGAACATATAGACACAGTAGAATCGTTGGCTTGACATTATCCATTTACTCACGCACAAGTAGTGCCATTTAAAAGACTCACCATGCAGTATTTTATCCTTCCTTAACACCAATGTGGCGTCTCTGAAAGCAAATATTAAGAGGGATCTGAGCTATCTGAGACTGAAGCAAGAGGTTACCTTGAAGCTACCTGCAAAACTACAAAACTGTCCTGTGATGTATTTCTCTATGAAATTCACAGCACTCTACACAGCGGTAAGAAGTGTAAAAATTGCACAATAAATTTTGCTACAGGCTTAGTTAGAAACACTATTATTCGGGACCTTTTGGAATGGAGAACAGGTCCTACTTATGTCACTACCACCCAGAATATCATCTCAGAAATTTTTTGGTTTATTAATGAAGTAGATGGAGCTGGGGGAAAAAAAATAAAACCAGACATTTTTTAAGTCCCAATTGTTCAACTCTTTCTCCATTAATAAATTACTGTTTGATCTTAAGAGATCTGCTGTTACTTGTGAAGACAGTAAAACTAGTCCTAGCCTATCCTTTGATGTTTGTCCTAGGATACTGACCTGGTTTTGGCCAAGGACAGGGTTAATTTTTCTCAGTAGCTGTGAGAGGGTGGAGCTTGGAACTGTATGGGCATGGCCAAGACCCTAATGTTATTCAACACCATCTTACACCATTGCCAGTGGTGAGGGAAAGGGACTCTCTCTCACATTCCTTTCTCCTCATGGGGAAAGTATAGCAGGTGGAGGGTCCATCACTGTCTTTTGTTGTCCTGGGCTTGGTGAGCATTTTTGCTACTAATACTGTTGCTGTTACTGTTTGTTTTTTTTATCTCATTACTGTTTCCAGTAAATTCTTATCTCAACAAAGGATCTCTGCCTTTTGTACATCCCACCAGAGGTGGGAGGGGAGTGGCTTGTGGTTTTCTTTTAGTGAAAGTACTAAATTGGGGAATAACATTTCTAAACCACAACAGATACACAGTGTTACTAAATTCTGTTGTCATAGCTTAAAACAGAAAAGCTAAACAAAGGGAGTGTATACTTTTAAGTACTGTTTTTTAAAAAGATATGAAGTAGAAAGGAAGAGAAATAGTTGAAAGGAATCTTCCTAGCTACTATTTTTTTTTTATGACTGTATAGGCTTACAGAAATTTATACATTTGAGCTTAGTATAGCATCAACTTTTCCTATTATTAGAGATGTTTGCCTTAATTTTTTATCTACCATTCTTTCCTATCCTGGTAGCCATGTAGTACTAATTGTAAAGAAATTTCAAATTTGGTACTATTTGACCTCATTTAAAAATACGAATAATCAAAAACAAGTACAGTGAAATGGCTACATTTCCTGAATGATGATTTTTGGATTGATTCTTTGGACTACCCAGATATTTCTTTTAATATGACACCAAGTTAAGACATAATAACACTATTTGGAACTTAGTTGTAAGGAAATTCTGGGAAAGTATTGACAGCTTGTGCTTCAACCTACCTGGATTATTCAGACCAGGTATTAGTAGTCAATATTCAGTCTTAATCCATAACTACCATCACCACCATTACCCAAAATTTCATGTAATGATTTTTAGTCTTTTATCCTTGACTACAGATAACTACCATTTGACAAATGAATCATTAAAGTAGCATTGATTTTGTGGGAACAAGGAACCTTTTTTTCCTCTTTCCTAGTTGGCCAGTCTCAGAATTCATGCTTGTTTATTTTTTTAAATTCTTGTAGGGTATTTATATTGCAAATGGTTATAGTAAGAAAAGTCTTTAGTCATCAAAATGCAGTCAGAGAGAGTACTGTGTTCACCTTCAAAATCAGAGTCATAGGCCTTTCTTGAAGGCATGGCTTCATTCATAAATAAAACAAAAACTTATGACCTCAGTACATGTCTGTACGGAATCTAAACATCTCAATTATGAACTGATTTTTGATGTTAAATTCAGTGGGGAAAACAGACCCAACTTGGAGAGAATTAATTTTCATTATAATAATAATATAAACATTTAACTATTAGCAATGAATATTTAATATGTGGTACTATTAAATAGATATTCTATTACTAATTTGGGTGTTGGGGAACAAAAAGACAAACATTGAAACTAAACATTTCCTACTCCTTTCTCATGTTCAGCTTCACTACTGCACTTCTGACTCCACTCCTACCATGCCACAAGAGGCACAGGGGAAGGGGGCAATGGAAGTCCTGGTCAGGCCATAACATCTTCTTTCTGCCACTCCTTCCTCACACTTCTCTCCTGCTCCAGTATGAGTACTCCACAGGCTGCAGTGGATATCTGCTCTGAGGTGGAACACTTCCTTCCCTTCCTCCTCCTCTCTCTGAGCTCAGTGTTCATACTGCTCAGTTCCCTCCTCTCTGTCCATCATTTTCTGATCGTTCTTAAATACACTTTCTCAGAGGTACCACCACCACTGTGTCTGAGGCACTCAGCTGTGCCCTGTGATGGGTTGGCTGGAGTTGTCTGGAACCAGCTGTGCCTGGCCTGGCATGGGACAGCTCCAGTCATCCTTCACAGAGGCTGTTCCTGCAACCCCACCCCCCACAGCACCTTGATACCCGCACCCTGTGCAGGAGGAAAAGAGAATGAATATTTATTTTTGCATTTGAATTTCTTCTTCAATTTCAAGGTCCATTTTACATTATTCCAAGTTTATCCTATCTTTATCTTTTTTTACTGCTTTACTGCTGAGCTGTATGTAGATATTCAGATACAGTAGGAACACTCCACCTTGTTATAAACATTTCTACATTTAGCCCCCCATGTCTCCAAAGGAGTTTTAAAAAGCTGAGGGAAGATTTACATTATACATTGATTATGTGATTTTTTGCTGTTGATGATAGTGCCTTACACTGAAACATTTCTGACATTATTAGGTAAATCATATTTTAGAAATATATCATTAATATGAAAACTTAGCGAAAACTTCATGAAGAAATATAGAGTTAATTATGTCCTCACAAGTGTTTATTTCATCAAATGAAGAAACCCCTGAAGGTTTCCGACATGTAAAACTATATAGAAAATACTCAACAGAATTCAAGGGCATTAACTACAATGAAATGTCAGTCTTGCAACGCACAAGGCACAAGGTATTTGGGATTCTCACAAAAAGGTGTAGAAACTATAATATGTTCTCTGTAAAATACTGCAGAGTGCATTTCCTTTAGCATCGCACAGTCCTTACTGACATAAAGTAATTCTACGTAAAGATTGTAATCAGGTCCCTGACTGGCTTATTTACTTGCCTCTGGAAGGAGACTGAAAAATTCTGTTGGTTTGCTGAGCCAAGCTTTGTCTTAAGTTTTCAATAATAGAAGTGCAGCAGAAAGAATGCAAATCTCTAAGTTTCCGAACTCGAAATTCACTTTCTGGAAGTGCTCATGTAAGTAAATCCCACTCAACTGTTCACAGGCAAAAGTAAGATATATGAAAATTAAGTTTTACACTTGAAAATACAGTGCCTATAGTCATCCACCTTAAATGGTTCACAGCTGGAAATCTAGGTATGTTAACCCCCAAAGAAAACCTGTGGAATAGCCTTTTCCTAACTCATAAAAGATGGCTGTCAAGACGTCACCCCTCTGTGAGGAGAGAAATTTCTATTTTACAAGATTTTAAGCAGAATAAATCATTCTAGCACTCCATTATCTAAATGATCTATTGCTCCACAATCCTTTTAGATGAATCTAGATGAGATTATGTCACCTTGCTGATTCAGTTCAGCCAACACATAACACTCTCAAGAATCTAACACTAAGCTATATGGACAAAATGGAA